TCTTAGCTCGACCTCGCCGTGCGCTCTCCGACTTCCTCATAAAGTCGAAACTCGCTTATGCGCCTCTCACTCAGCCTGCCTTCGATCGGGAGAGACCCTACCGGAGTCCCCTTCCCATCACTCACCCGAATGTAAATCCGGAGTGGCTTCCCATGGTGTAAATGGGGCCTGATCACCCTCTGGCTCAGCTTGATGCAAAACCAGTGAACCCCATGGCAATCCCTGGAAGGGTCCATGTCTGTGTGAAACTCTCGGAGGAGGAAAATCAGGTGCTGATTTCTTCTGCTGTCTAAGTGCCCCGTACTACATTCTCTGTCTCACATACACATACAGTCCCCCAATACACACATACACATACACACACATCATCATCTCAGAGATGTTCACACATCCCACACATGCACACCCTCTCTTTCACACACATACACAGTCCCCCAACACACACACCCTCACTCTGTCTCAGGCACATGCACACACTCCCCGACACACACACACAAACTCTTGCACACCCAGCCTCCCAAACACACACACACACACACATGCTTTCTCATACACACACTCCTCCCAACACATACCCACTTTCACATATATACACACACTCCCGCAACACACACACTCTTTGCCTCACAGATACACACACTCCCCCCCCACACACACTTACATTGTCTCTCCTGCATGCGCACACACATTTTAGTTTTTTCACTGGTCTGTGCCTTTTCATGATGTTATTTCTCTTAGACTGATATTTAATTATCTGACCCATGAGTTCTAAAATGCCTCACCTGACCTGGCTGTAATTACCTTTAGGACTGTATTGTGCCTTGTCTCATATTCTTTTGCTCCTGGTACAGGACAGTCTTTGCTTATGCTCCCAGGTCCTTGGTACCTCTGGCATTTTCCCTGGAACCTGGAGGTTCTACTTTCTGGAGCATAAATGAGCATTAGAGAAACACCAGAAGTAGTTCTGATCATATGGAATGTTGGTGATTTTCAGGGACCATATTGCACTTTATTTACATTTTGGGACCGTATTGCACTTAAGTGGTTATATAATACTGATATAACTGAGTTTCAAGACGTATTTTAGTTACAAAGACAAGATTATTGCATGACATGTAGGGAATACAGGTCTATATACAGTACTCAGGTTTAAAACAAACAAGGATGTTTTTATTCACTCAGCGCACAGTAAACCTGTGGAACTCCTTGCCAGAGGATGGTGTGAAGTCTAGGACTTTTAACAGAGTTTAAAAAAAGAGCTAGAAAGATTCATGGAGGATAGGTCTATCAATGGCTATTAGCCAGGATGGGCAGGAATGGTGTCCCAAGCCTATGTTTATCTAAAAATGGGTAACAGGGGAGGGATCATGTGAGGATCAGTCATTGTGTTCCCTCCCTCTGGGGCATCTGGTATTGGCCACTGTTGGCAGACAGGATATTGGGCTGGATGGACCGTTGGTCTGACCCAGTATGGCTGTTCCTATGAGAGCTTCTCTCATTAAACTTGGGCTTTTCTAGGACTTCAGATAACCGTCCCTCGACAGGACAAGGATCCTATTTTGTCTCACAACCCCAAGAGATATTTGCTCTCTCTCTTTCTAGACAGGTTTCTTTGCAGCACAATGTTTCATTCTGTTGGTTTTGCTATGCAACTGGCTACCTGGTCTTTAGTGTCTCTCTTACCTGCCCCATTCTCCTTTTAAAAAAAATTATAATTACCCCCAGTATCTACAGTTTTCAGACACACACCATTTTTTTTTCTACCATTGCAACACATTTGTTTAAACAACTTAATCATAGCCAGGCAGGTGATGAAATTTGTGGGTGTCAAAAGTACAAAAATAATAAAGCTCGGTAAAACTTAAAAATTCAGTTTTCTCCAAATTTCAGTTGTGTTGACGTATCCCCCAGACTTCTCCCGAGTACCCCTAAGGGTACTCTACCACTAGTTGAGAAACACTGGTGGAAATCATCCCGGCCAGGGCTTTGTCAAGCCAGGACTTAAAAACCTCTAGGGATGGAGATTCCACCAGGTA